GGGTTAAACATTTATTTTTTTTTTTTTTACTTTACGTTTGAAATTATGTGCTTGTCATCTAGTTTTTTAGCTTTCAGTTTCAGATTGAACCAAAAATTGTGCATGTAAACGTAGCCAGTGTTGCGTGTTTGACGCCCAGCTTTTTATGATCCTTTTTTTTTTTTTTTACTTTCCAAATAACATTTTTTTTGTGTGTGTGTTATCAATAATGATTTACTAATACCTTTTAATAACAATTTTAGGATTTTAATAAGTTTCAATTACTAATTTAACAACTGTAAATCAAAAAATTGTTGATATAAATTATTGATATTTGATGTATTAACATTTTTTAATATTTTAGAATTTATAGTTATAATAACTAACAGTAAATCAAGTTTTTTTTTAATTGATATTTTATATATTAACTTTAACAACTAAATTTTAGGATTTTATTACATTTGTTTAACTTTTTCTTGTATTAACAATGGTACTTTAACGTTTTATTAATATATCAGAAATCAGCAAAGCTGTTTTTATTTACTTGTTATTTATTATAAATATTCAGTTAATAAATTAATATATAAATCCTAAAATGTACTTGTAATACATCAAATAATCAATAGTAAATATTCTGTATTTAGGATCAATATTAGGCCCCATTTACACTAGTGTGTTTTCGTTTTAAAACTGCATTTTAAAATGAAATCGATCCTCGTCTACACTGGCGTTTTCACTACGTTTCAGAAACTATCTCCGTCCACACTACACAACCGAAAACGCATGTCACGACCATTCATGCAGGTACAACCATAGATATGTATAGGTAGATTCCCTATTATTTAGATGGCTGACGCGTCTACATGCTTGAAGTGGTCGAATGGGGAATCTACCTATCCACCTTTTTCTTCAACGCGCAAGTAAGCCTGTGGGCGACACTTCCGGGTCATTAGCCGCTATAGGGAAATAACGAGAAGAATAACATGCAGTAAACGGTAAAACTGTTTGCACTACAAACCAGTGTGTTTAATTAAAATAATATGGTAAGACAACAATTTTCAATATCAAGCAGCAAAACGAACTGTTTTGTACAGCTAAAAATAGCTGGATGCGGATGAGACCGGAAGCCAGAGCCATAGAATTTACAAATGGCTGCGCCCATTTTTACGGCAAGAAAAAGGTGGATACATATGGGTACAACAGTGAGCATGATGCTATTGTTTACACGGTTGTCAAGGATACGCAGAGTGAATGTTGGCAGCCACGCCATCGCTTTCAAAAGTGTCTGTTTTGGTCCGTTTACACTGAAACGCAACCCCCGAGTTTTCAAACTAAAATGGGGTCTGCAGTGTTCTCAATCTCAGTTTTCGAGGGTTGAAAATGCCGGAGTACTGTAAACGACACGTGTAACTGTAGCAAAAGTTATGCATTTTAAAACAAAAATTAGGGATGCAACGATACAATTTTTTTCAGAACTGATCCGATACCAAAAATTAAGTATCGGCAGATTCCGATCCGATACCAGCGCGCACATTTTTTTAAATTTTTTTTATGTAGAATTTCTATACTTCTGTGACCAAAAATTAAGTATCGGCAGATTCCGATCCGATACCAGCGCGCACATTTTTTTAAATTTTTTTTATGTAGAATTTCTATACTTCTGTGATCATCACTCTTGTGTGTGTTAAACACAATCTGCTAAATATAGACAACTTTTATTTTAATGAAAAATAACAAATCAAAAAATATATTTATAATCATAATCTATGACAAAAAAAAATACTATTATAAACTAGGTTAGAGGATAATTCAACAGCAAAAGTTATTCTAGAAAAATCATGGGTGCACAATTTTATAAAAACAAACTAAACATTTAGTGAAACATTATTTAGTGGGGAACAAATAAAAGTTAATAAGTGTAGGACTAAATCTGGTAAAATGTTACACATTGCTCTTTGTATTGTTGTAAAATACATTCATGAAAAACAAGTAGCTTAAATATATATCAAATATACTATAAAATTAAAAGACACTTCTTTTAAATGCATAGCACAGTAATGAAGGCAGCAACATATGATAGAACAGAACAAAAAAGACTATTAAAAATCTTTCATTGAGCAAAAGTAAAATACGAAAGGGTATGGCTCCTATACAAAGCGGCACAACGCTCATGCACATCCCGTGCGCAGAAAGATGTGCTTGAAGCAACACAGAGACGCAGTGCTCCGCATAAAAAAGGGAAGAGATATTGATGCGTAGTGTATTATATATGTGCGATTATTTTATTGAGCAGTTTTATATCTCCGTTATGGTGCTTTATAATGTTTTTGTGCCTTTTTGTGGGGCTTAACAACACAGAATAGTATACACACAATATCGGATTTGGAATGGTCTCGTCTGACCGAGCAGAAAAGGCCAGTATCGGAGCCGATACCGATACTGAATATCGGATCGATGCATCCCTAACGAAAATGCACTAGTGCAAACGTAGCTTTAGTCTGTTAAACTAAAGATTATCATCAATAACTATTACAGTGAATTTGAGTTTTAATAATGAGTGATTTGATAATACTTTTTCAATTTTAGGATTAATTTTAATAATAATGGAAGTTTTAATAACTAAATATATCTAAAAATTGTTTGTTTTATTCTTATTTATAATTGATGTATTAATACTTTAACAACTAAGATTTAGGAATTTTATTTACAGTGTGTGTGCTCCACAGCAAACTGTCCCAGCTGAAGGAGTCCCGTGAGCACTTCCAGCAGGAGCGCACGCACTCCCACAGCCCCACCCGCTCCTCCTCCCCCGCCTCCAACCTCGACGACCTCAAAAAGAGGCTGGAGAGGATAAAGAGCAACCGCCAGTAGATCAGCGCCTCGCCTTCATTCTACGCTAACGCACTAGTTAGTCAGCCGGCTTCCCAAACTCCACCATCCCAACGTTTTTCAGGGTAAACGCGTGCATAGATTACAGTTATGCGAAGTAGGATGAAAAAATAAATAACTCGGTCTATACATTGTATAATATTAAGTAAACATTTTCTGTATGTTAGTATTGTGCACAGTTGTTTTTGTACATACAGTGGCTAACTACACCAGGCTTTTATGTGTCATTTAGGGTTTTCCGTGTACAGTTTTCCTGTGCAGAATGCTGTAATATGTGTAACTGATGCTTGTTTTTTTTTAATAGACATTTTAGAGAAATCTGAATTTTAATGTCGCTTTCACTTGGTCTCAACTTCTATCTGTTCAACACTGTTTGCCATTTTTGCTGTTTTCTTTCTGCCTTTTCTTTCTCTCTATTCCAAGCATCTTTGAAGCTCTCATAACTTTTGAAGAATTGATTCCTTTCTTTTAAGGAGCATGGCATGAAGTACTGGATCTTTCTTTTTATGTAAATAAAGTTTGCATTACTAAAGGCTGTTAATTCCATTTTTCTTTTAATATTATTCCCAACATTTTGCACTCTGTAGTGAGATGTTGGTTATTGATGCATTGTTTTGTATTATCCAACTGGGATTAGTGTTGGAAGTGTTGCTATTAAGTTTAAGTCTATAATCTATAGTAAAAATGGCAAAGTTTTATATATATATATATAATTGATACTCTTCTGAATTTTTACTTCAAGGGGCTGAGTGTGTCAGTCTGTGCAATGCACAATACTACTACATTATAGATGTACATAGATCCATATAGTAATAGTACTGTGTATTGTACAGCTCTACAAAAATGTGGGGTTTGAAATTTTAATGTCGCTTTCACTTGGTCTCAACTTCTATCTGTTCAACACTGTTTGCCATTTTTGCTGTTTTCTTTCTGCCTTTTCTTTCTCTCTATTCCAAGCATCTTTGAAGCTCTCATAACTTTTGAAGAATTGATTCCTTTCTTTTAAGGAGCATGGCATGAAGTACTGGATCTTTCTTTTTATGTAAATAAAGTTTGCATTACTAAAGGCTGTTAATTCCATTTTTCTTTTAATATTATTCCCAACATTTTGCACTCTGTAGTGAGATGTTGGTTATTGATGCATTGTTTTGTATTATCCAACTGGGATTAGTGTTGGAAGTGTTGCTATTAAGTTTAAGTCTATAATCTATAGTAAAAATGGCAAAGTTTTATATATATATATATATATATATATATATATATTTATTTTAAACTATACAT